ACTATAATTTTATCTTATACCAGAAAGAATAGCAATCATCAAAAAATCAAATACAGAATAAATGCTGGTATGCCTTTGGAGAAAAAGGAACATTTCCATATTATTGTTGGGAACTAGTACAACATTACAGAAATCGGGTAAGTTCTCAAAGAACTAAACCCAGCTATTCTTCTAGAGCTAAAAGACATTGTATTACAGCAATACATACACAACAATATGCTATAAATATAGCAGCCCAGTAATAGCCAAATCCTGGAAGCAGTTTGTATATCCAACAGACAAATGGATAAAGAAAATGTATGTATACACAGTTGAATACTACTTGGCTATAAAAGATAAGTTTGAGGACCAGGTCTGGCAAGCACAAGGTCCTGAGTTCAGTCCTGGGTACCACAAAAACAAACAAACAAAAAACAAGAAGAAGAAGATTGAGACATTTGTAGGAAAATGGATAGTATAATATAGGAAAATGGAGAGTATAATAAGTGAAATGAGATACCCAAGCTTAAATACAGTATGGTGTCTCAGTAAAATAAGGGTCTTATAGAAGAAAATAGGTAGATCTTTTGTAAATGGGAAGGGATTCAAGAGACTGAGGGTGAAGGAGTAGGGCAAGGGGAAGAGGAGGTAAAAAGACTGAAGATGAGTCATGTACATGTACCTAATACAGTGGATGTAAATATGTCATGAATGAGTAAAAAAAGTTAGTAATAATAAAAATGGGTAAAGGGTATCTAGAGATGGTGGGAGGGATATGGGTATGGATCGTAAGGGGAATAAATAAGGTATGTCATGTACATGTACCTACTCCCTAAGATGAATGTAAACTTCATGTAATGCAAAGATGTACTAATTTTTAAAAATCGGGTTAATGAAAAACATGATTTTCATATAATCTCAACATAAACCTTACCAAATATTTGCTTATTACAGTGAGAAAAATAGCAAATTTATGGTGGAGAAACTTGGCAGATACAACCTTAGCCAAGTGATCAAAGTTTGTACCAACTTACAGAATCTCCCAGCTTCTATTAAAATACCGTGAGAATGATACAACATCACTTTGTGATGTTCCTGCAGAAAATGCGTAGCCCAAATTTAAACATGAAAGAAAGCTAAATTGAAGGATGATCTTCAAAATAACTGGTCTGTGTTCTTGAAAAAGATCAGTCATAAAAGACATAGAAAAACTAGGGAACTGTTAGGAGAAAATAAAAATCTAAAGATTCATAATCCTGAATTAGATTTTGGACTGGGGAAATAAATAGCTTTAAAGGTCATTTTGAAGGCAATTAATGACACTTGCATATGGGTTATAAGTTTAACATTGATATAATACTGATTTGCTTAGCTATATTGTGGTTATCTAAGCAAATGTCCTTGCTCCTGGGAAAATACTGGAAAACTAGAGGGCTAAAATGGTATAGTGTGTGTAACTCATTCTCATATTGTTCAGAAAAAATGTGTGTGAGAGAATGATAAATTAGGGCAAAATTTAAGTAATACTTACAGATTTTTTTTCAGATTTGAAGTTATATAAAAATAGAAATTTATCTTAAAATTTCTCAATTAAAATCTTCATATACCTGAATTATAATTAAGTTGAGATTAAAGAATTTACTTTTGAAAAGGACAAAAATCATTCTCATCATTTAAAGTAAAGTAGTGAAGGAAATACTGGTCATATAGAAAAATTCTGAATTGTGAACATAAAAGGACCTGACTGTGTTTGTTGTTCTGTCATTGCCTAGTAACCTTGAGCAATTCATGTTCTATATTCATCTGCCCTAAATATTTACAAAAATAGATAATTCAAGAATTAAAAAACATTTTTTTCTTTTGGCAGAAAGTTTCCCAAGAAAAGGATTATTTGTAAATTTACTTGGCCTTTGTTCCAGACAAATACTTTTATGAATTTACATAAAGAAATGTGAAGGACATATTTCTAATTATTTCATAAAAGGCGATATTTTAGAGGTAGAATTTCTTTTTTAATTTCTTTGAGCTAATGTGAATGCAGTGTCACTTTAATAATAAGTTATACTCATACTATTAGATTAACATTTTTAAAAACTCAACTTTATAATAGTTCTGAGGAGCTGTTTAGCAATATGGTGGCTGTTAGAGTTTCAACTCGGCTTTGGGATCTGTTCCCACAATTGATGGCACATTTATAAGTGTGTCTGAATAGTCATGGAAGCACATGGCCTTGGGATCTCTGTCCTTCACCCTTCTGCTGTGGTACTCTTCCCTGCTTTGCTTCCCAGTCACCATGAGGTAAGCATCTTTGCTCCTCCACAGCTTTCCAAATAATGTGCTTTGGAGCAAGCTGATAATGTACTAATACCAGGAGCAAATTAAACCTATCCTCATCTAAGTTGTGAGTAGTTTGCTATTGTGTCTCAGCAATTAGAAAGGAATACAGAAAATTGGTACCAAGAGTGGGGTTATTATTATTACAGTCCTGATTATATGGTTCATAAGCCTTTGAAACTGGTTTGCAAAGGAAGTTTAGAAAAATTTATAGATGTGTGCTAGAGAAGCCCTAGAGCATTGTAAACAGTGCTTGATGAACAATAATGGTCAGAGCTCAGAAGACCAGGCTGCCAATAGGAAGTTCATAAATCTGACTAACAAGAGACCTAGGAAGCAGCCCAGTGATGCTTGTTTTACTGACATGCAGAATGTAAGAGTTGTAGGGTCAGCTAGGCTTCCACACAGATTTTAAAGGAAGCCTGGAAGGGCAGTCCATAAAGCTGAAGTTACAGAGGAGACCCCAGGAATTCAGAGATGCAAAAGATGTGGAGCATTTACTGAGGAGAGCTGCAGGCCATGAGTGGAACCAGCCTGAGAGGTTTTGTGGGCTAAAATTGTCAAAGCCTTGGGGGTGGGGTTGCCCACACACTTGGAACTCAGTTTACCACCGTCTTACCACTGTCCAGATAGGGTCTTACTAAGTTGCCAGGCTATCTTAAAACTTGGGGTCCTCCTGCATTAGCCTACTAAGTGGCAGGGATTTCAAGTGCTGGCCGTCACACCTGGCTTGCTCAGTTTATATCAACAGTTGATTGAACAGTGAAGTACTGTCAAAGAGAATGAATAGATTATAACTTATAACTTCAGGCAACAATATGAATCAGATTCATGAATATTATGTTGAATGAAGCAAAGTAGCTACAAAAAGGGTACGTGTGAGTCTTTTTATAAAATTCAAAACTGGCAGAACTTATCTATAATGCTAGATCTTAAGATGGTTAAGATAATAGCCAGGTGTGATGGTGCATTTCTGTAAGCCCAGAACTCTGAGAGGCCAAAACAGGAGGATTGCAAATTTGAGCCCAGCCTGGGCAATTTAGTGACTTAGGAGACCCTGTCTCAAAATTTTAAAGGGCTGGGAATGTACTTCATTGCAAAGGTCCTAGATTCAATTCCTAGTATTAAAAAAAATCTATCAAGTTCCTTAGTATAAACTTCTAAAATAGTATTTGAAGATAAATGTCAGTTGACTGATAGCACTATTATTGTCAAATAGTATGATGATATGGCTAGTATTGTTAGATTTCCTTTTTGAAAATATTCTTAGTTTTTAACATACATTTTCATGTTCTACTCTTCATCTTTTTTTTTTCTTCCCCTGTTACCGAGGATTGAACTTAGGGCCTTGCGCTTATGAGGCAGGCGTGATACCATTGAGCTAAATCTCCAGCCCTTAAATTGTTTTTATGTTCAGAAGTCAGGATTAGGATTGTTAGAAATCACTTTTCAAATACTTCATCTTCTACAAAGTCTTCATTTCTTCCCTTGAATGTACTAATCTCAACCTCCTTTGAACACATGTAGTAATTTATGCCTTTCATAAAGCATTTACAATGTTCCATTATAGTTTTTTTTAAATACTCTTGATTATAAGAACCTAAAGTGTAGAGATTGTCACTATTTTTCTGTACCCATTCTAATACTATCATATTGCATATGGTAGCTAACCTATAAATTTTTCATCTGATGAATTGCCTTGTTACCATTTCATGACTTAGTTTTGCATGTGTAATTTTCTCTTTAAACCAAAGATCTTTAATATACAGATTTTCTTTTTTCTTTCTAGATTTTCTTTTTGTTTTTTGCTTTTTACAGGGGATTGAACTCAGGTCCTTGCACTTGCAAGGCAGGCGGTGAAACCACTGAGCCAAATCCCCGGTCCTAGATTTTCTTTTTGACCATTTTTCATTTATGAACCTTCAGTCCCTGTTTATAAACTGTAATTGTATAACATTTACCCTTTACCAACCATAAATTTTCTTGGACAGGGAGATATCTGCAAAACAAAAACAAAAGTCCAAACCAAGTAATCTTTTTAACATCGCAGAACTATTATTTGCTACAAGAAAATGAGTACAATATTTTTTATCTTCACTCATATGAAAAAGGAGATAGATATGATTGGGTCATCTTGAATATGTTCCCCTGTATTACAGTAATTCTGGGTACATTTTCTTTTTCCTTTTTGGTACCAGAGATCAAATTTGGGACCTTGCACTTGTGAGGCAGGTGCCAGAACCACTGAGCTAAATCCCCAGCCCTCTGGGTCCATTTTCTACCCACCTTTTTTACAGCTTTTCCTCTTTTGGACCTATAGAAATGTGTGTGGAATGGGATTTGCCCTTAGAAATAACAATGTCTTATCATTTTTCTTTATGTATCTATAGTATTTTAAAGACCTTGTGATTTACCTGTTGGCATTTGATTTTTACCTAGGGTAATTAATTTTTATGTATTAGAGGAGATTGTAGTTCTATATTAGTGTGTGTGTTTGAGTTGTGGCAATGATTTGGAGTTATCATCTTCATTTTATCATTATAATATTGTTTTCGAAGAGAAAATTGAGAGCTTCCTCTTTTTGCGTGTGTACCCGTATTTTTTTTGGAGTTATATATTGGTGTATGCAATAATAGTTATATTACTAACAACAATTTTGTGAGATGTTTGTTATTCTCATTTTACAGATGAGGAAACTGAGGCTTGGTGAAGTTACGAAACTTGTCCAAAGTCTAAAGTGATACAGCTTCTAACAGGTACAGCCAAGATTCAGAGCCAGGTCTGTCCATCTTCAAAACAATCATGGCCATGTCACTTTGAAATAGTTGTGAAATATAAATCTTTAATAAGTTATATTGGTCTTAATATTGCTTAACTGTATTTAACACTTAGGGACTTCAATGATAAGGTTTTTTTGTCCCTCATAAAATTTCATTTATCTTGTAAATATTGTGAAAAATGGTATAATATAGTAACTGAAAGTTTGCATTCTGAAGACAGTCTGGAAGTTTGAGTTCTGAAGACAAATCTCTAAGCTTCTCCACTTGTGTGACATTGGGAAAGTTACCTTTTATGCCTCAGTTTTCCTGTCTGTAAAATGGTGATACTGCTATCATGTACCTGATAGAATTGTTGTGACGATTAAATGATGTAATATATACACAACACTATAACAATGCCTGTTACATAGTAAGCATTTAGTGCCAACTACAAGTATTATATATCAGCAACTAGTAAAGCAAATTATTATTTTTAATTCCTTGCTAGACAATTTAGATAAATCAAAGTTTAGGTAGCAATGTAGAGTACAACAAATCCTACATAAACCAAAATTAAACTTGAATAAATAAGACCTACAACAAATTTGACCAAGATTGATCTAGCATAAAACAAACTGGACAACTGTTTATAAGTCTCACGTGGATAAAGGACTGTATGTATATAAAGGACCACACATAAGTGCACTATAGAACACACATTGTGTTATGAATGTGCTTTTTCTGTTTTATCCTTGAGAGTGCAGCTTCAAAATAAAATTGTTCAAGTGGCCTTTAAGGAAGTAGTATTTTGACAGTGTTGAGTGGTGATTACTAACAAACAAAACTTTATGTATTCTGTAAAATGTTGGCAATATTTCATTACGTGCAAGAATGGTAATCAGAACTGACACTATGATAAATATGCACACTGATTGACCTTTGAATCTATAGGGCCATAGCATATTCAACTAGAATTCAGCCATACTTGTTTAGTGTAGCTGTCAGAATTCTACAGTGCTCTTTCAACTTTTACTTGATCCAATTAAAGGAAAATACATGTTAGTGACTAATAAATAAGTTTATACCAGTTGCTAAGTTTATACTATGAATGGAAGGTAACTGCAAAATTTAACAAGTTTGTAAAAAGTCAAAAGCTGTTATTTAAAGAACAGGCCTTGTTTTGTGTATGAGTCCAAGAACCCTATACCTTTTAATGTATGGATGGATTTAATTTATTCCCTTTATTTTGAAGGTATTGTGCCTTATCTATAACCATGGTAACATCTTTCTATTTATTCATATATTTGAAAATATTTTTACTAAGCTATTTTTCTCCCTAAAAGTTTTTTAAATCTTCTCACAAATTTAATTATTAAATTATTTTTTACTTATCGTATTATTTTTTGTTACTATTGTAAATGTTATGTTCTTCCTTTTTTAGTTTTCTGTTTATGATAGGGCTTTTTAAAGAGTATATTGTTTCTAGTGTAGAGATTTCTTTTTATTTATTCTGTATAAATTATGACTGTGGGAACTAGAGAAAACAATCCAAAAATTCATTTGGAACCAGAAGGGACCTAGAACAGCAAAAGTAATTCTAGGCAACAGAGACATGAGAAGGGGTATCACAATCCCCAACTTGAAACTATACAAAGCCACTGTGATTAAAAACAGCACTGTACTGGCAAAGAAACAGACCCAAGGATCAGTGGAATAGATTAGAAGATGTAGAAACAACTCCAGATGTACTCAGCTGCCTCATCTTTGACAAAGGAGCCAGCCATCCTCAGTGGAGGAAAGATAGCCTCTTCAATAAATGGTGTTGGAAAAACTGGATTTCAACCTGCCAAAGATTAAAACTAGACCCCTATCTTTCACTGTGCACTAAACTAAAATCAAAGTGGATTAAAGCTCTAAATATTAAAACAGAAACACTAAACTTGCTGGAAGATAAGTTAGGTAGAACTCTCGAAAACATTGGCATAGGAAAACATTCTATGAACAAATCCTCAGTAGCACAGGAACTAGCACAAAGAATCAACAACTGGGATCTCATCTTACTAAAAAGATGCTCTTGCAGTGCAGGAGACAACCTACAGTGTGGAAAAAATGTTTACCAGCTGTTCCTCAGACAAAAGTCTAATGTCTAGAATATATAAAGAACTCAAAAAATCAGGCCCCCCAAATATAAAGACCCAATCCAGAAATGGGCATCTGAAATGAGCAGACATTTCTCAGACAAACAAATAAAAGCAGCAGATAAAGATAGGAAAAAAATATTCAACATCACTGGTCACGAGAGATGCAAATGAAAACAACACTGAGATTCCACCTCACCCCAGAAAGAATGGCTGCTGTCAAGAAATTGGCAACAAATGCTGGCAGGCTAGTGGGGAGAAAGGAACCCTTTTTCATTGTTGGTGGGAGTACTGACTGGTGCAATCACTGTGGAAATCAATATGGAGATACCTCAAAGAACTAGGATTAGAGATCCCATTTGACCCAGCTATTCCTCTGCTGGGTATGTTTCCAAAAGAATTAAAAGAATCATACCACAGTGAAATATGTGCACCCATGTTTATAGTGGCGGCTAAAACTTGAAAACAGCCCAAATGCCCATCAACTGGAGACTGAAAAAAGATGTGGTTTTTCTATAAAATGGAGTACTACTCGGCTATAAGGAATGAGAAACTAGAGACATCTATAGCTAAATGGATGCACATTGAGGCCATACTCAAGTGAAATAAATAGGACGCATATATGTAAATATTGAATAGTTTCTGAAAAACTAAAAGTATAAATAAGGTTCAAAATGTATAATTGATAATATGAAATAGGAAGAAAAGGTCTAAAGGAGTAGGGGAAGTGGGAAGTAGGGGAAAGGTAAAAAGGGGAAAGAAAAAATATGAAGAAAGGAAAAACAAACAGTATCTTTGTACAACAGAGAAGAGTGGAGGGGGTGAAGGAAAGGCCGGGAATGGGGAAGAAATAAGAACCAAGATAAATCATGTAAAGATACAAGATCCCAATGATGAGTGTAACTGTATTGTATACCTGAAATGTACCAATAAACTTAATTTTTTAAAAAAGATTGACTGTGGGCCAGGGATTTAACTTAACTTGGTGGCACTGTTCCTGCCTTGCAAGCACAAGGTCCTGAGTTCGATCCCCAGGACCGCAAAAAACAAACAAACAAAAAAACCAAGATTATGACTGTGAAATGATTATTTTTCCTGGAAAAGATACTTGTGAGTATTTTTGAGACCAAGATGGAAATGAATTACTTCAAGATTATTTGTCTTTGTATTTTTCCAGGTACCTCAAGGTACTATGGTTTGGTGACTCTCTAAATTTATGGCTTGCGTTATTTTAATTTTTAAAAAATTATTAGTATAATGCCTTGTGGGGAGTTGGTGCATCTTCATTCCCCTTCTCATCCTCTTTCCCTTATTTCCCTTCCCTCTCCCTCCATCTCTTGATCACCTTCTCCTTTGATCACCTATCTCCCTATACTTCATATTCTCTTATCTTTTATTTTGTCTTTATTTATACTTTGAGTTTCTCATATAAGAGGAACAAGGAGATAGATAATCTTGTGTGCCTGACTTACTGTACATTATGATTCAAGGTGAATCCATTTTCCTACAAGTGACTGCGGTTTATCTTTCTTATGATAGAGTGGTACTCCATTGTGTGTAATACCACATTTCTTTATCCATTCATCTGTTGATGAACATATAGGCTGCTTCCAAGATCTGGTTAGTATGAATTATGTTGTTATAATCATGCACATGATTGTATCACTCTAATATGCCTTTAACCGTTTTGAGAAGATACATGGAGTGGGAATGGCTGGGTCAAAAGGTTTTAGTTTTCTTACTGATGGCTGTTCTTTCTGGGATAAGATAGAATCTCAGTGTTATTTTAATTTTCATTTCTTCATGTGTTGATTGGCCATTTGTACTTCTGAGAATGTCTTTTGATTTCATTGTCCATATTTTTTATTGAGTCTTTTATTTGGGGGGGATCTAGTTTTTTTTTTTTCATTCCTTTATATTCTAGATAGTAGACTTCTGGCTGAGGAATAGCTGGCAGTTGAGGTATTTTAGACCATCAAATAAAGTGAATCTGGGTTGCAAATATATGTGGAGGCCTACTTAGAAATACTTGTTCTGTTCAGCAGTAGAAAGGCAACTTAGAATGAGTGTACTGCTTTACTCTTTTTCCTGAGGATGAAACTGGGAGAGGGGAATGTAACTTTATATGCAAAAGATCTCTGTTAGATCGCCCTGGTGGATGGGCCTGAACTTGACTTCTGTTCTCTTCCAAGAGACCATCAAAATTCTGCTCAAGTTTATAAGTTAAGTCTCCAGGACAAAAACGGTTTCACTGTGCCACTGATTTCTTTGTGATTCTTGCTTCTCAGATTTTGATCTGGTAATTTCTTTGCCATATGGTCAGCTCTTGAATGCTTTCAATGTATTTTTTAAAATAAAATTTATCCATGACTTTTAGTTTTCATTTTCAGTGAAAAAACTGCATGAATAATCTAGCATGATGTTACTGAAGTGCTATTTTCTTCTAGTTTGTTTTTTTTCCTTTTTACGAGTCTTTTATATGCTTATCAATTACTGATTTTTTTTTTTAATTTTGGTTCTGGGGATGAAACCAAGGGCCTTGCACATGCTAAGTACACACTCCATCTTTGATCAATAGCCCCAGCCCTTGTTTCTTTTTTGTTTTTGTTTTTGGTACCAGGGATCGAACTTGGGTCCTTGTGCTTGTGATGCAGGTGGTTTTTAATATAAACATTTGAAGCTATACATTTAAAAGCATCTCATGAGTTTTTTTTTCTTTTTTTTTTTCAGCTTTAATTGAGTTTATTGGTACATTCTAGGGATACAGAACAGTTACATTCATTGTTGGGATCTTGTACCTCTACATGACAAGTCTTGATTCTCATTTTTTCCCCTTACCTCTGCCCTCCCTTCACCCCC